GGAACAAGAGGTCCTTCTGACCTTAAAGAGGCAAGTCGATAAATCTGCATGCTAGAACTATTAAAGTAAGTTGATGCCATCACCCCAGTTCTTGACGTGTCCGATACTTACTCTTCCGAATTCGGGATCCAAGCTTACCCAGCAATATTTTGTATACTATGCATTCCGAAAAGTGAATACAAATATTCTCCAGCTAGCCGGCATTTATCCGTGACAGTGCCATACCAATACAAAGTCGGTCATACTTTGTTCCCTACCACGCCAACAAAAATTATACCTACATTAGATCATGAGTTGGGATGTAACTCCAGGTATCTTTAGCTCTCGTGATGGTACGTGTGTATCTATAATGAAACGACCACATGTTTACCTAGTTTCAGGATTCCCAAAAGGCGCCGCTAATCGCATCCCAGTTGAGATTTGGGAGTGCATTCTCAGCTTTGCTCTCACTTGGCCCCTACTACCCTCGGAAGACGACGAGTTGATTAGGAATATACGACTGTTCTCGCACGATTGTGAGAATCTCGAAGAGTTCCATCGTACCGAGCGGACCCGAACGAAGCTTCAGTTGGTCTGCAGCATCTGGAATGAGATCCTCAAGCAGCAATCGAAGCGTCTATGGATGGGTCCACCTTCTAGCCTTTCAACAGCATCGTCTTTTTCTAGAGTCAACTCGATGGATGCGCGATGTCATACCAACGGCGGCTGCTGTCTCCCAACATGGCAAACGATATACGTAATCGATGCTGCATCAACTCCATTATTCGACTGTAGTTCGACAGAAGTAATTATCTCTTACGATAAAACGCTATCGACCGATGAAATTTGTCAATTCCCTAACCTACGTCTCCTCAGAATGTGCACAGACGAGCGAGAAGGTGGTCTCCCTGCCGGTCTGCTCCCAATAGTCTGTAACCTCCGACACCTGACGCACCTTCAACTTCGACATCTATATCTTCCCGGGTTTCGCGATCAACCCCTTCACCTACCTTGCCTACATACATTGGCGATCGAGTACGAAATCGTTGATGGCCCCGACGATGGACGAAAGCACGATTATCCACGATTCAGTTTATGGTATTTACCGAGGTTAATCAATCTTGAGATTGCAGGGCGCTTCCTAGGCCCGGTACCGGATGTGGAAGAGGAAATGATGGAGCTTCTACAGATGGTGGCCCCAACATTGCAAGGCCTATCCTTTGCAGTCACTGTCCATCTATACTCCATCTCCTCTCTCCCTGGACGAGTTTGGATCCATTTTACGAACCTAAGGTCGATTTACGCCCACTTATGTACGATAATGAACAACAGTCGGCCTCACCTTTTGCCACCTACAACTCGAGTAGTCCTTCGCGACCTCGTCCGTCCCTCCAACTACCACTTAGACGAAGATTTCCTTTTAAATCTTTATCGGGCGAGATACTGGGCGATTGCAGAGTTCGGAATGCCCATTGGTTGGGCCACATTGAGAAGGCAGCTGGAAAAGGAAGCTATCGAAAGCGACTCTACCAACGTAGCTTTCGCTCAGCTAATATTCCAAACCATTCGATCGGGTAATTATACCTTTACCGATCGATATGGTATCGGAATGGATAGCCAGGAAGCAAAAGCAGTCATAGCTTGGCTACACTCCTTCATGCTCCCAAAGCATCTTCAAGAACAAGTGAGGCACATTGTGAGGAATATCAACTCACAAATCATGATCTTGAGTGGAGACGAGAACCACATGCTGAAAATGCCAGGAGAAAGCTATGACTAGTGTCACGCGGTGATTTTCTCCCAAGACCAGGCACCATCAACCAAGGGATACGCTTCAGGCGCTGGATGCAAAACACGTGAAGAATCAACGATCTCTCCGGTATTTAAATGGACCATTTATTTGACTAGATATTTATTTCTTTATTTATATAACTACAGCACGTGATATTGCCCCCTTCGATCCTCTGTATGTAACCTGCGGAACCGAGAATTATGCGTCAATAGGATTTAGAAGTATCAACCAAAATGAAAATGATATGATATGAGACTAAATGGGCCACTAACCGTTGACACGCCCAGTAAGCTCGAGGCGATAGCAGTTCCGATTAGCTTTTCGACCTGACCATAACTGGCATGCACCGGCGCCCATCTCATTTGGGCCCTCTTCGCTATTCTTATGTCAAGTCCAACTATACAAGAGTATTAAGAGCTCGTCACGTTGTGACAAACGGCGCAGAAACGCCCAACTATGGATCGTTCGGCAAATGTATGTTGGGTCGCATACAAATGACGCTGCTATTTCTGACGGTGAATGCGATAACATATAGCTTGGATGATATGGGCACCGCTCGTCTCGATATCCACGGTTTTTCTGGCTTCAACTGCCTCTGCCGAGTACAGGGCCAATCTACGTCATGCGGTAGACACCTCAGGAGATGATGTGAGCGACCTTTATTGTCGTAAAAGATGTATCATAACTTCATCGTAGGGCAAGGTTCATCAAAAGGAGACTATCGAGGAGGTCGAAGGGTCGTGGACCCAACCTTTGGCGTCCTTGTTCGGTCTGGATGCCCCTACAGAGGTAATAAATAACGCTTCTTCCGTGCTCCATTAAATTTTCTGAAATAAACCGTATTCATAGGAGA